CCTGGGCACATAGTTCTCCAGACTCTCCAAAATAACCAGAGAAAAATGGACTGGAGGTATGGCTCAAGTGGTAGAGCATCTGCTTTGTAAGTGCAAAGCCCTGAGTTCAAACTCCAGTCCCTCCAAAGAAAACCAACTAATCAAACAACAGCAAAAAGCCCTGAAGCATGCTGATGGTAAATACCTGAATTAGAAATGACTGGGTGTGAGTTAAAATGATGTGCTCCATTTAAAAATCTAACTTAGAAGTGACAATTAAGTCTGCCTGCAACTGAGCTGTGGAAAGGCTAAGCAGGGGTCAATTTGCCTGATTAAAAAATGGTTGTTTTCACCATTCATTTTTGTGAGAAAGATATTGATGATAGCAAGTATTAGATAAATGCTTGTGAAAAGAAACTCTTAGTGAATATAAGGTCAAAGTATTTTACATACATGTATATAAATGTCACACTAAATCCCTTCACGTTATACAATTAATATGTGCTAATAAAAATTGGAAAAAGTAATGAAACCCCACAAAACACTAAAAAAGGCACTGTGTCAGTTTTGGGAGGCAGTGGAGTAGTCAACTTGAGGTTGGGATTTCATTTCAGCCACTTACTTGCTGTGTGACCCTTGGCAATTACTTAAGCTTTTTGTTCCATTCTCTAAAATAGGGGTCATACTACATTTACCTTAGAGAGTTGATGAGAAAATTTAACTGTGTATTATAATATACTCACAACAGTGTCTGTTCATGGTAAATGCTAGATTGTATTTTCACTCAATGACTTCTGTGAACCATCCTTGAATTCACTGCTTTTCAAAACTGGCTGTGTTATACCTGTGATATGATAAAGTGGAGAACTACAAAGCACTCAGCAAATAAGGAGCTGTGGAATTCTATAGGCTTCTCCTTGCTATCCTTACAACTGAAATAGCACATCCCTTTGTGCCTTACCTGCAGTGGCTTTGGTTTCTGGGCTGTCTGCAAACTTTTCTTATTTCAGGTAATCCTCATGTTGTTAACACAAAGCCACCAGGCTGCATTCTGTAGCTTCCCTTTCTAGTCAAGGTGCCTCATCACTGGTTTTGCTGACTGTTCTTTCTACATGCTTCCCTCTTCCCCTGAGGGTGCTGTCTAGCTGCAGACTGGTGTGACCTGCACCATAAATTATGTGGCCAGTTCTGCCTCTTCCTTCACCACCTTTACTACTGAAGCTAGTAAAGTTAAGAGCTTGATTACCCAGCCTCCCTTGCATCTAGCAGTGACCATGTGACCAAATTCTGGCCAATGTGACATTGGTGAAGTCTGCCAGGAATCCTTAGGGAAAGCTGAAATGCCTGGTGCCAGGAGCAATCTTTGGTTGTGTTACCTTTCCCTTTTCTGCCTACCTTGAATACTAATATTTTATTTGGAGCTGTGCAGCCATTTTGTAGCCATTACACAATAAACATGAGAAAAGAATTCTGAAGTCAACACTAGTCAGAGTAAAAAGATAACAAAGAATCTATGTCCTGAAGGCCTTGTTGATCTGCTAAGCAACTGCCAGCAGTCATCAACCTAGACTTTTTGTGTAAGAATAATAACTAAAATTATGGACTACATGTTTGTATCTCCCCCAGAATTATACATTGAAAACTTAACCCCAATGGGATGGTATTATACGGTGGGGGCTTTGAAAGCTAATTAGGTTTAGGTGAGGGTATACCTCCCACGATGGGATTAGCTTCTTTATAAAAAGAGAAAGTAACTAGCACTCATTCTCTTCACCAGAAGATTGACTATAAACCAGGAAGAAGGTTGTCACTAGACATCTGATCTGTGGGGGTCTTGGTCTTAGATTTTCTAGCCTCAAGAAAAATTCAATGTGAGAAATAAATGCTTGTTATTTAAGCCACACAGTTGATAGTATTCTTGTTATAGCAGCCTGATCTAAGATACCTACTAATTTTAGCTACTGTGAGCCTTTCTATTACTGAAGTCCATTCATTTCTCATGGAGATATGGGCTGAGGACCACCTACTTATGCCTACAGTTTATCAAAAAGAGACAGCTCTTCCAGCTTCTGTCCCTATCATTTCCTACCATTAAGGTCTTAACCAATATCTCAAGCTAGTGAAGGAAGCAGGCGACAAATGCTACACCCAACGCTTCCATTCTTCTTCCTTTCCCCCTCTCTCTGTTAGCTCCTGTGTCCAAATACTGTGTCCAATCTCGGCTGGCCCCAGACAAAACTTCTATGATCAAAGAGTATAAAGAAATACGTAAGGGAGGCAGCTTAAGATATCCCAGAAGTGTCTGTAACTCAGTTCAAGCCCAGTAGGGTCACCCTCTAACCTTCAGACCACCATCAATCTTCCCCTCCCACACTTTTTTTAACAAGTAATATATGTATGCTTTTTACAAGATAAAGTCAGCCAAACTTACAGAGAATAGGAAACTGTGCATCCAACATCACAAGGAAAATGTCATCACGAAGACTTTCAGAGTTGGACTGCTTTTATTTATTTATTTATAATATAACAACCTTCTTTGGTCACTGAACAGCCCACACTGTAGTTTCTCTGAAGACCAGATCTTGTTTGATTTCAGCACTAGGTAGAAGTTTAGTAATTAAGCATGTCATTCTAGCAAAACAAGGGCAAATGAGGGGCTGGGTCCCTCATTAGGTGAGATGACAAATGGCTGGCCTCAATCCATCAGCATTCCTGTAATTAGGACATGTTAACAGAGTTGCTCCTGGTACATAACCTTGTTCATGTCCATGTTTGGCAGATCAACTTAGGACACGAGTTGAAGTTATTTTTAGCAGAAGGGAATTAGTTAAAAACATGCCATTTCCCAGCAAGCATTAGGTGCTTTATTAGCAATCTCCTCAGACGGGAATAGCTTACATATTTACCAGGAACTTTTGGGCAGCTCCCATTTTTCACTGACTTTGTATTGAACGCATTCCAGGTGTTGGGTCAGAGTCCTCACTCATCAGGTAATTCCAGGGTCAACCAAACTCCTGAGTTAGTTATATCCTCTGTTCTTTCCCCTCCTTGCTTTCAGCACCGGAAAGACCCAGAACCACCCTGTGTTTGGCTTGTTGGAGGAGTCTGAAACTGCCGGTTGAAAGGATCTCTACTACAACAGTTTCACTGTGAAATAACCATGGGAAACTCTCCCTGAGCAGACTGCAGCTGTTTTAAAGCCTGGATGTCAACTCAGCATGAGATATAACAGCAATAAGTCCACCTCACAGGATTATGGTGCAGTGCAAGAAAGTTAGTTTGCATAAATGGTAAAGCACCTCACAAATGCAAGATTCACTTGACTCTGTCAATACCTTCTCCCATTATATTGCTTTTGTGTGAGAAAATTGTGTGCCTGCTACTGTTAAAATTGAGGTTTTAGCTTAGACATGTCTTTCCAGAATGACAGGGCTCCCACAAAACAATGAACTTCCAGCACACTGGTCTGAATACCTCTGGTATGAAAGATAGTGTAAGAAACAGGCCTATGCTCACTTTACAGGACACTTCTTTGAAACTCTTTTTGGATAATAGCAGTTCCTTCTGAACTAATGTGAATGTTCTTGTGTACATGAGCAAGGCTCAACCTCCAGCAAGGTCTCAAAGCCATATGGAAATAGTGCACAGACTCAACAAGTTAGACTCGCTGCACAGCACCTGGATAAATCCAATAATTTGTGCAATGTGCTCTTATCAGCAGCCTTCTACAGGATGTCCTCATGTGTGGCTCACTTCCAGCTTTCCTGGAAGCTGCTTTTGTATGGAGTCTGTTTCTCTATATTCTACCTTACACCTTACTTCAGAAAGAGATCAACTGTTTCAGTTAAGCAGGGAAAGAAGGTAGTAATGCTAAACATCCTGTGGCAGTATGTACCAAAAGATGGCTCCTCCCCAAGTGTCTTACTCCTTTACAACATCTTGGGATTCTCTTGCTTATAGTTCTAGGGTTTTTGTGGTTGTGGTTTTGTTTTCTTGCCAGTGCTGTGGTTAATCCCAGGACCTTTCACACACTAGGGAAGGTATCCTAACACTCAGCTATACTCCTAGTCCATTCCAGGTGTTCTTGAAATAAATGAGAACATTGAACTTTCATAACAAGTGAGAATGTTTAAGAGTGTCCTAATTTTTAAAATTATCGGATTATTGACCTGCCCACCTGACAGTGTTGCTCTCCTGAGTGACCGGTACCAACTTAGACTGGTCTCCTTAAAGGGGACGCCAAGGTCAAACAGGACTGAATAAAGGGGAGCAAAAGGTAAAAGACATGGACAGTATTGTACCCATGAATGGTTTTCATACTGGACATCCATTGAGGTATTTTTGGAGTACCTCTTATCCACAGACTGTTAAATTCTCAGGAAGGGAGTAGATATGTATTTGAGACAAGAGGAAAAAGCACTGAAAAAATTGAATGATAATTTACTCATGGTCCTACCTCATGGATTTGTACTTCTCTTCATCTTTGTCACAATTTATAATATATTATAACTAAAATTTGCTTACATATACTAGTATGGGTGGCTTTTGTTTGTAACTTAAGCAGCCCCTAATTTATTTAGACATGTACGCATGTTTGAACGATAACATATAGCTATGTGTCAAACATATACACCAGGGCAAGAGAATGTGTGGCAACTATTCAACAAATAGTTTAAGAACCGCTTGCTTCAGACACGCACAACACATGACATCTAGTATTTCAGTAAAGAATAACGCTTATTTGGCTAGGTGCGTTTACACGGTGTTCTGTTAATGGGCTTTGAATCTGTCACTGAAAAAAGGTTATTTTTGATATGTCAGAGAACTGTTACCAAGTAATTAGTGTATCTAGCAGAGCATTTGGTTTTGCTGAAGAGCAAAAAAAACTGAATGACTGAAGTAAGAAAAATCCCCCTGCCCCAAGAACGCTAGTATGTTTTATACCTCAGCCATAACAGTGAAACCAAAGCTAAGGTCAAAAACTAAAATAAGTAGATGGTAACTGTAGGAGATTTTGCCATTCCAGTTTATTGAAATGAGTAAATTTATAGCTTTATTTGCATACAGAAAAGTGCACAAGAAATTAAGTATGTACAAAACAGTTGTGTGGCTGATCAGTACTTTCAAATTTTCAACTACCTAAAAATAGTTACCTCCAGTTTAGCATGTTTAGGTACTTGGGCTTTTAAAGGACTATTTCAAGTCTGTGTTTATGATGACTGAGTACGAAGCCAGACAGAAAATTACACTGTAGATAATCAACTATTACCATTAAACATAAAATCACAGGACTTTAGCTTGGACTACTTGGGGCTAATCAATAGAGGCTCACCAGGCCATCTTCTTATTTAAATCCTGAGCAGTGATCCTCTTCTTCCACCCAAAGGTAACATTGTATGTGGTTGATAAACACCCACAAATACCTGAGCATTAAGGGTCAAGAGATAATATTTAAAAAATCCAACATAAACAAGGCAAACTAATTTTGGCAAGAACAAACCCTTCAGAACTGTGCTAACAATAGGACTGAAAATGAACTGGGAAAGTTCCCAAGGTTATGAGGAGAAAAATATTGCAGACATTAGATTTTCAATGATAAACCCAAATAGTTGTTTGTCATCTTCTCCCCTCCCATTTATCTTCCTACTAACTATGAGATGTGGCTTCAAGAAAGTTTTCCAGTTTCTTGATAAAGGCCTAGCATGACCACAGTATGGACCCTGTGTGTTTGGCACAGTTACATTTAGCTCCGTGATATGTTGCTCTTCAGAATATGGTCCTTCATTGTTGAGTTTAGTTCAATTTCTCTTTCACATTAACTGCTCTTCTGGAACTTCAGCTCAAAAGGATGGTCCCTTAGTCCATAGGGAGGGTACAGGTTGTATCCACTTGCAATTCTAGTTACTGGACTAACCATTAATGAGAAGGAAAGGAGGCTCCAGATCTGTGACTCATTTGATTTTTTTTTCCCCCATGAAAGTCTGTTCCTTATAAAAGGAAAGTAATGTTATATGAACCCAGGAGTAAAATGGACTGAAAAAAGAATCAGAGGGAAAGAAGAATGAATAATGCTTTTGCAAGCAGTAAATTAGAAAGGGATAGTTTTGGTATTGGGAGAAATTGATTTTCAAAAATAGGAGAAAATGTCTTCAAAATTTCCCCAGCTATAGCAGATTCCAAAGTATCTAAGGAGAAGATGGACTTGCTTCCACTTTATTTAAAAAATTCTTTGTGTCTGAAGCAAGTCATCTTTGAAGAAGGTACCTTGCTCTAGTAGAATCTTTAGGTTTTATGCTCTAAAATAGAAAACTCAAATGGCTTTGACCTAAAAGGATTAGGGCATTTCCTTGAAACGGTATAATATAAGGGGTTGTGGTAGCTGCATTTTCCAACCAGAGGGTAGAAAGGAAGAGTATTCTGGAAAGTTCAAGGGACATGAAGGCAAGGGGAGGTAGGGAAGCTACTTCATTTACATTTAAGCTAGAGAGTTTAGGATCTTAATTTACATAAAGCCATAGATTCAGATTAGCTTTAGCCTAGACAGAAAGTAAAAGGCATTTTTAAAGTGGAAGAGGTAAGAAGAAATAAGGCAATGGATAATATGTCAAAGCTGGAACAAGGACAGAGGTCAGGACATGTCTGGCTATTATTAGCTTTATCCTTGAAGCTTTTGAAAATGAAAAGGCTAACCTTTTCATTCCTCTGGAGCATTCCAAGTTTCTAGAGAAATAAGGGGAAGAGAAAAACCTGTGGTTAGAATTTTGAATTGAATATGAATGTATTAAATATCAAGTCATTATTAAAAATGTCATTAATGTATCTCCTAGAGCTGACGTATAAGGTAATACAAAATAAGGTAATAAATATAGAGCGTGTAATAAAACAATTCACACAAATGCTCAACAATGTTACCTACTGCTTTCTACCATAGTTCTCCCTACCCGATGTATTATTCTAACAAGTTATTGTTATTAATTATTGTTGCTAAGCTCTGACTGTGCCTAATTTATCAATTAAGCTATCATAGGCATGTGCATATAGGAAAACAGTATACATAGGATTTGGTACTATCCATGGTTTTTGGCATCTGCTGGGGGTCTTGCAACATATTTATCATGGATAAGGGGAGACAGGGAGACTACTGTAAACTCAATCTTATTGTTGATGTCACATTTAAGATATTTATGAACTTAAAACAATTTAATTACAAATGGGGCAAGACATACTGTAGTGTCTCTGCTTGGATGAGGCATGATTGAAAAAAAAAACAGGCTCGTATTCTTTTCATTCTTTTTCTTGTTTCATCTCTACCAGCTGTGTGCTACCTCTCTAATGAAGATTCATCTCCTTTTCCCTTCTCACTTCAATGTCTAACATCAGAACATGGTGCCATTTACTGTTGAAAATGAACAGACTGTACCAAGTTCTTGCAAGGGTACAGGGGAAGGTGACTATACCTAATAGCTTAACTAGAATAAAGTGCACTAGAAAAGAAGAATCAACCTATCTGGACCACTTTGACCTTGCAGTTCTTCAGAAGGAGACATTAGCAGATATCACTGGTTTTAAAGTTAATACTATTAGACTATTGCAGACCAACTTTAATTGAGATTGCTCCTAAAGAAAGAAATGACAGAAGAGTTGTGATCATCATTCATTTAGCTGACTTGGTTGGTGGCTTTAGAAGGGCCTCAGAATTGCATTTTTGTTTTACAGGGAACTATATTGTTACTAGGATACTTTGCAATAACTTCAATATGATGGTAAAAAAGCTAGAAAGTGTTCTCTCTCTCTCTAAAATGTTATATTGTTTTACTTCTGCACAGAACTAAAATTTTGAAAATGTAAGATGGAAATTCATATCCTATATTACTATTTTGATGCATTTAAGAATTATTTTCTTAAATGCTCAGCCTAGTCATTATTGGATTATCTGTTTAACTTTTTCCTAATTATATGTTTTTCCTAAATTATATGTTTAACTTTTTCCAAATTCTAAAAATAAAATATCAATCTTAAAATCCATGTCACCCACAGTTAAGGCAGTCTTGAGAGGAAAGTTTATAGCCATGAGTGCATATATTAAAAAGATTGAAAGATCCCAAATCAATGACCTAATGATACATCTCAAACTCCTAGAAAAACAAGAACAAGCAAATCCCAAAACAAATAGAAGGAGAGAAATAATAAAAATAAGAGCTGAAATCAACGAAATAGAAACCAAAAAAAACATACAAAGAATTAATGAAACAAAAAGTTGGTTCTTTGAAAAAATAAACAAGATCGATAGACCCCTGGCAAACCTGACTAAAATGAGAAGAGAAAAAACCCAAATTAGTAGAATTAGGAATGCAAAAGGGGAGATAACAACAAACACCATGGAAGTCCAGGAAATCATCAGAGACTACTTTGAGAACCTATATTCAAATAAATTTGAAAATCTAAAAGAAATGGACAGATTTCTAGATACATATGATCATCCAAAACTGAACCAAGAGGAAATTAATCACCTGAATAGACCTATAACACAAAATGAAATTGAAGCAGCAATCAAGAGTCTCCCCAAAAAGAAAAGTCCAGGACCTGATGGATTCTCTGCTGAATTCTATCAGACCTTTAAAGAAGAACTGATACCAACCCTCCTTAAACTGTTCCATGAAATAGAAAGGGAAGGAAAACTGCCAAACACATTTTATGAAGCCAGTATTACACTTATCCCAAAACCAGGCAAAGACACCTCCAAAAAGGAGAACTATAGGCCAATCTCCTTAATGAACATTGATGCAAAAATCCTCAACAAAATAATGGCAAACCGAATTCAGCAACACATCAAAAAGATTATTCACCACGACCAAGTAGGCTTCATCCCAGGGATGCAGGGGTGGTTCAACATACGAAAATCAATAAACGTAATAAACCACATTAACAGAAGCAAAGACAAAAACCACTTGATCATCTCAATAGATGCAGAAAAAGCCTTTGATAAGATCCAACATCATTTCATGATAAAAGCTCTAAGAAAACTAGGAATAGAAGGAAAGTTCCTCAACATTATAAAAGCTATATATGACAAACCTACAGCCAGCATTATACTTAACGGAGAAAAATTAAAACCATTCCCTCTAAAATCAGGAACCAGACAAGGATGCCCACTATCTCCACTCCTATTCAACATAGTACTGGAATTCCTAGCCAGAGCAATTAGGCAAGAAGAAGGAATAAAAGGAATACAAATAGGTAAAGAAACTGTCAAATATCCCTATTTGCAGACGACATGATCCTATACCTTAAAGACCCAAAAAACTCTACTCAGAAGCTTCTAGACATCATCAATAGCTATAGCAAGGTAGCAGGATATAAAATCAACATAGAAAAATCATTAGCATTTCTATACACTAACAATGAGCAAACGAAAAAGAATGTATGAAAACAATTCCATTTACAATAGCCTCAAAAAAAATCAAATACCTAGGTGTAAACCTAACAAAAGATGTGAAAGACCTCTACAAGGAAAACTATACACTTCTGAAGAAAGAGATTGAGGAAGACTATAGAAAGTGGAGAGATCTCCCATGCTCATGGATTGGTAGAATCAACATAGTAAAAATGTCGATACTCCCAAAGTAATCTACATGTTTAATGCAATTCCCATCAAAATTCCAATGACATTCATTAAAGAGATTGAAAAATCTACTGTTAAATTTATATGGAAACACAAGAGGCCACGAATAGCCAAGGCAATACTCAGTCAAAAGAACAATGCAGGAGGTATCACAATACCTGACTTCAAACTATATTACAAAGCAATAACAATAAAAACAGCATGGTACTGGCACAAAAACAGACATGAAGACCAGTGGAACAGAATAGAGGATCCAGATATGAAGCCACACAACTATAAGCAACTTATCTTTGACAAAGGAGCTAAAAATATACGATGGAGAAATAGCAGCCTCTTAACAAAAACTGCTGGGAAAACTGGTTAGCAGTCTGCAAAAAACTGAAACTAGATCCATGTATATCACCCTATACCAAGATTAACTCAAAATGGATCAAGGATCTTAATATCAGACCCCAAACTCTTAAGTTGATACAAGAAAGAGTAGGAAATACTCTGGAGTTAGTAGGTATAGGTAAGAACTTTCTCAATGAAACCCCAGCAGCACAGCAACTAAGAGATAGCATAGATAAATGGGACCTCATAAAACTAAAAAGCTTCTGTTCATCAAAAGAAATGGTCTCTAAACTGAAGAGAACACCCACAGAGTGGGAGAAAATATTTGCCACTATACATCAGACAAAGGACTGATAACCAGAATATACAGGGAACTTAAAAAACTAAATTCTCCCAAAACTAATGAACCAATAAAGAAATGGGCAAGTGAACTAAACAGAACTTTCTCAAAAGAAGAAATTCAAATGGCCAAAAAACACATGAAAAAATGCTCACCATCTCTAGCAATAAAGGAAATGCAAATTAAAACCACACTAAGATTCCACCTCACCCCTGTTAGAATAGCCATCATCAGCAACACCACCAACAACAGGTGTTGGCGAGGATGCGGGGAAAAAGGAACCCTCTTACACTGTTGGTGGGAATGTAGACTAGTACAACCACTCTGGAAAAAAATTTGGAGGCTACTTAAAAAGCTGGACATCGATCTACCATTTGATCCAGCAATACCACTCTTGGGGATATACCCAAAAGACTGTTACTCCAGAGGCACCTGCACATCCATGTTTATTGCGGCACTATTCACAATAGCCAAGTTATGGAAACAGCCAAGATGCCCCAGCACTGACGAATGGATTAAGAAAATGTGGTATCTATACACAATGGAATTTTATGCAGCCATGAAGAAGAACGAAATGTTATCATTCGCTGGTAAATGGATGGAATTGGAGAACATCATTCTGAGTGAGGTTAGCCTGGCCCAAAAGACCAAAAATCGTATGTTCTCCCTCATATGTGGACATTAGATCAAGGGCAAACACAACAAGGGGATTGGACTTTGAGCACATGATAAAAGCGAGAGCACACAAGGGAGGGGTGAGGATAGGTAAGACACCTAAAAAACTAGCTAGCATTTGTTGCCCTTAACGCAGAGAAACTAAAGCAGATACCTTAAAGCAACTGAGGCCAATAGGAAAAGGGGAACAGGTACTAGAGAAAAGGTTAGATCAAAAAGAATTAACCTAGAAGGTAACACCCACGCACAGGAAATCAATGTGAGTCAATGCCCTGTATAGCTATCCTTATCTCAACCAGCAAAAACCCTTGTTCCTTCCTATTATTGCTTATACTCCCTCTACAACAAAATTAGAAATAAGGGCAAAATAGTTTCTGCTGGGTATTGAGGTGGGGGGAGAGGGAGGGGGCGGAGTGGGTGGTAAGGGAGGGGGTGGGGGCGGGGGGGAGAAATGAACCAAGCCTTGTATGCACATATGAATAATAAAAGAGAAAAAAAATCCATGTCACCTTTTCTCACCCTCAGTCAAGATAAGCTTAATAGGAGCTTCTACTTACAGAAGTTAGGCAAAAGGATTTCCAAAAGGATCCTTATATCCATCAGAAGATATGGTCTGTGGAGGAGCCATCTAAGGACATAAAACCATCCAGTGAACAAAAATAATAATTACAGTCACAATAAGAACTTTTAATTAAGACCTCAACTTTCTTTAAAAACCACTTAGGTCAGAAACCAATCAGACAATATATAATGACACAATGATTTGTGCCAATCAGCTTATAAATGGTGATATATATTATTTATACAAAAATCAAGTGTCAGGTGAATTACAGTTCCCCCCCGCCATGGGAAATATTACTTTGATGAGCTATAGAACCGTAACCGGGAAATCAAGAATGTAAATCTTTAAAAGAGTTTTTAAGATAGTATTTTGGTTCAATTTACTCCCCAAATGCTTTCACAAGCCATTAGGGTTTTTTTTTTTTTTTTTTTGAGAGTGAGGGTTTAAACTCAAGGCCTCATGCTGACTAGGTAGGTGCTCTATCACTTGAGACATTCCACCACCCACATTTTTTGTGTTGGGTATTTTTGAGATAGGATCTCATGAACTATTTGCCTAAGCTGGCCTCGAACCTCCGTCTCCTGATCTCTGTCTCTTGAGTAGCTAGGATTACAGGTATGAGCCACTGGTGCCCAACAGAAGCCATCTTATTTGAGATAGGAAGTACATTTTCTACATAATATTTCTCAATTCAGAAGACAGTAGTTCCTATAAAAATAATCTTACTTCAGTTTAAATCAATGTGTACACTGGAATTTCTCAAGTCAAACAGACCTTACCATTACAATGTGATTATGCTTGCAAGATTAACTCAGGAGGTAGCTCTGTCTGGCTTGTACTTTGGCACAATAGTTTCTGGCAGTGATACTTACAGAGGGTTGTGGTGAGCTGAAGGAACCTTTAGAGAAAGGGTTCTCAAATCCATTGTCAGCAGATTTGGTCACTGGTATGGCACCTTGTCTGGGAGCTGGCTTTGGTGGTTCTAGAAGGTAAAACCCAAGCAGTCAGTGGACACATTTTCCTCAAATATAGCACATGTTCCACCACTCCAATCAACTGTTATTTGAAACTTACTTCCATACTTATGAAATTTATATTGATGGAATAAAAATCACTACTACATACTAGAACTTGTAAAGATTTTCCATCTCTTCTCAAAAGAGAAAGCCATTTATCTGATGTAAAACCCATAATTCCCTTGTTTAAGGTGTTGGAGTGTGGATGAGCCTTTATTAATCAACTCTCCCAAGTATCACAATTCATTGTATTTCAACAGTGTTTGGCGATCCTTTCAAAAACTGTCACTAGAGGGCAGCATTGGGCCAGCCCTAAGAATTGGCCAGGGTAAATGGTTGGCTCTAAAAGGTAAATGGTTAAATTGCCTCCATAACCTTCAATACCAAAAGAACCAAGAGCATGACCTTGTTGGATGGGAGAGGCTCTTGTGAGGGAACTGCTGGGCCTATATGATAGTGGGAACACTCGTTGGCACAGTAGGCTTACCGTTGATTTTGTTCAACAGTTGTTTGGCATCAAAATCATCATGGTCTGCATTCTCCTGAGGAATGCCAACCTTACTGTTAAAATAACTGGAGAAGGCACTTGTAGTTCCAGTGGGAGGCTGATCTCCCTTCCTTGCAGGCACAGCAGGTGGCTGCTTCAGTTGGAAGTCCTTAAACATTTCTTTCACTTCCTTGACTTCTTTATCCCCAAGTGGGTCTAAGGCAGTGAAGGCATCACTTGGGATGTCCTTTGGAGGACCAGTCTGGGAGGTGGCTGAGGAGGAGTGACCAGGAGAGACGAAAGCATAGAAGAGGACTGAGTGGACATGGTAGAAGGTGGAAAAATATTGCTCTGAAAAGGATTCCCCAAAGGGCTTGTTGATGACCATGCATTGGGTGCCATAGATGCAGAAGAGCCCCAAATGACAGGGGCTGGAGGGGGAGTTGAGGCTGCAAAGGATGAAGGCTGGCTCCAACCTTGAACAGCTGGGTTTGTACCAAAAACAACTGGCTGATTGAAACCCGAAGGCTGACCACTCATCATAGCTCCTGGGATCACTGAAGTGGGCTGACTGAAGACTACAGCTGTGCTCCAAGGTCCTGCCTGAGGGGGTGTAACTGGTACACCACCTGAGGGAAGAGGGAGAAAGTAGTTATCAGGAGACAAGCTTGAGAAGGATTCTCTATTTTAAGTTAGCATATACCAACTGTATAAAATAATGAATTTCATTGTGACATTTTTACATATGCATATTACATGCTTTAATCATATAGGTTAACTAGTTAACACAGACAGGGTAGTTAGCATTCAGAAGTCCATGTTCTTTCTACCACATCTTTTTCACTTTCTCATTAGAAGGGAAATACAATCCATAAATATGTAGTCATGAAAAAATGAGCTCCTATATGTACTGATATCTCAAAAAATTACAGTAGAGCCTTTTATAGCAGGCTTGTATATATAAACGTGTTGAGTGAACACATTTTTATATACAAACCACACTGACTATGAAGTAGTTAGTTAAGATAATCCATTGGACTCTTTGAGTTATTTATTCAATCCTTTTATTTAACAGATGGTTTGTGTCTGGAGACTGATGGAAGCCAAGCTATTACGCATAAGGCCTCAGCATGCCTCCATCCCAAAGAAACTATTTCTAAGTTTCCTTGCTTTTCAACGCTGCCAAAGTTGACACAGCTATATAAAGAGAAGATAAAATTTAGCCAATGCCAAGATAGCTTTAGACTTTTACATATTAAAATGGAAGAAAGGCTGTTATCCTAGGGAGGCTGTTTCAAATAAATGTGCTTCCTGCCATGTGTCATTCACTAACCCTTGCCAGAAGTTACAGCAGAGTATTTAAATGAGAAAGGGAGGAGAAAAGACAAGAAGAAACAAAAACACTTCTGAGGTAACATGGCCGTGCCAGGGCTTGGTCCTCTCTGTGGGTGAATGGCAGCACTGTCTACATCCTTGCCATTTGGTTAGGAATTAGAAACTGCTGGCTTCTCTCAAGAGGCTCAGCCCTCACATCTTTTTCTAATATGTAGGACATTTTCTTCCGGTGTGTTCCCAAGTATATTAGTGAATCAGTCAAACTGTCACCACTAACAAAACCCTAAATTCAGCCTCATTCTTATTAATGGATGATGCTGATGTTATGCTCTTGAAATCTACTTGCTTTGAGGTTTGGAGCACAGCAGTCTTTCATTAGGAGTTTTCTAATTCAATCAAGAACAGATCTTCAAGCTTGGGTTAGGTAGTTAGGGGCTGATGTAGGCAGATATTCTGTCTTGGATCGTCTTAGTACTTGACTCTATTATCATAAATGCTGATCACCTGGCCAGGAATATATTCATTGCACTCACAGAGAGAGGTGGGTCTCAGAAAAGGCCACCTTCCTTAAGCAACATGCTTATTTTCATGGTGAGAGAATCAGGTAACGAACACAATTAAACTTGGAAATGTTGTAGTCAGTGACCACAGATGCTCCAAACACAGCACTCTAACCGCCCCATTCTGCCCCCTTGACAGCAAGGCATAGGACTATTAATGACATGCTAATTCAAATACTAATTTCATGGACAAATTAGGCTTCATTTACATGAAAGAATATATTCCCTTCATAACAAATCAGAGGACAAAGTCTCTTAGGTTCTACACACACAGGCACTAAGAGATTTAGTTTGAACAAAGTTAATGCTAGTGCTTCAAAACAAATTTATTTAAATTTTTCTAACTGAATTGAGAGTCACTCACCAAAAATTTCCATCAATTAGATGTGCAAAAAAAGAAAGTAGATTTTTTTTTTTAATCTTTCACATTGGACTACTTGCCTTTCCTTAGGAAAATGCATGGCTTTAGTTATAGGTTATATCTGAAGGAGTGGTGTTTGAAAATGTATTTAAAAAATACATTTGCCAGGAATTAAAGGCTTTCCCAGTATATACTTCATTTCCATCCACCAGATTCTATCCATTGTGCTTTTACGACATTTATGGCCCAGCTGGAGAAAGTGGGACAAGGACTAAGGGAAAAGGGAGTGTGGTATAAAGCATTAATTTTATTACTTTCTGAAGCTAGATCAAAACGCAGAGTAGCAAGTCAAAGCCGAGGGCTCAGCTTTCTGTAATACCCTCTCCCCACCCCCCAAGATTTCCAGAGGAGACAGTCTCCCAGCTGGGTCTAGCGGAAGCCAGACCTACAACCTTCCATGGTTTGGCTGAGGATCCCTGCTAGTGGACAGGGGCTATACTGTGGGGCTCAGTTTGAGTTCCATGTCCAAACTTGGAAGAATCATCAGTATTCTGTAGTTGTATACCCCAAGGCCTCAACAGGGGCACTTAGCCAAAAAGCTTCACTTCGTCTGAATAAATTAACAATTATAGGGTCCAGCTGTATTTTCAGGCTGACTTGTTAAATATTGGCTGTAAAAATTCTTCAGGGCATTGATATTAGACTACAAAGATCTGTGATGTGATCTACTCACAGGCACTGTGAGCAAGTTCTCTGCTTTTCTGTGAAGGAACCAACCTGTTCCACATGGGGATGCAAGAAAAAGCAACGAAGAAGCAGAAGCCCCCAAGAGACACAAAGTAATTAGGAGAGTATCTCAATGGCGTAAATGTCCAGCAGAGACCTGGGACACATTGGCATCTCACAGTCACATGAATTTTAGCCACTTGTGTAAGGTAACACTTTAGTCTACTTACTGCAGATATGATTAAACAGATTCATTGTAAAGAACTAAAATAGTTTCCTTTGCATGAAAAATAGGAAAGAGAGAGAGAGAAAGAGAGGGAGAGAGAGAGAGAGAAAAAGAGACAGAGAGAGAAAGACAGAGAATGCAACAGAGAGGTGACTCACTCTGTAAGAAGCAGAGAAAACCAAACCAAGATCCCTGGTCAAATTTTTCCAAAAGGGGAGGTAAGTCTTTCTTCATCAATGGTCCCTCACCTCCCAAGCTAGATTCCATTTGGAGTTTGTAGAGGTGCCAAGAAGAAACAAAGATAGTCCCCTGCAGGACAGCAAAGATTATTGTTGGGGCTTCTGGAAACTGTACTAACTGTATTATGGAATCTGAAAAGAACTGGAGGCTGTGATGGAGAGTAGTGGGCCAGCCCTCAGACAAGGTTCCATCACCATTATCCTTAAGCAGAATGGCTCAGTGGCTCTCATGAACTAGGGACACATTTACCAATGAGAACACCAACCTATCCTAGGTATCTGATAAAATTCCATCTCTTCCCAGTCTGTGCTCTTTCCAACTTCAGCTTTCTAGTACTTATGTTCTAACTCTATTAAAACACTCTGCCAGCAATGTATTGGCAAGGAGCTGCTAAGGGGGATGTTTTCAGAAACTGCTCAGGATGTGAGACTGTCCCACAGCCCCATATGCCTATGGACAGAGCTGGGCCCACATCCTAGTCTTTCTTTCTAGGACTTAGCATTGCTGCAGCCTTAACCTATACCCTTCTTGGGCACATAATGCGTGAAAAGTGGATATAGAGAGTTTATTATGGCAAACACATGGTAGGCATAAATGTTGTTACTTTTCCAACATAGATGACACATTAGACTCTCTCCTGTCATCTCCTTTTCACTGTTGAAGCTGGTCTGACTTCAGAATCCCTTACAACTCCCACAAAGCTATTGCCAGTTTTTTCAGGTACATGCAATACCAAAAATGGATTTCTTGTCACATAGTAACTCAAACAGCTGAATTTCAGTTACAAGACAGGAGTACCAAACGAGAGAGGGTTGAGAAGTGGGAAGAAAGGCTGCTTGGGATTTCTAGTCTTATGTCCATGGAACCCTTTACTGATAGGAAGTGCCTTCCTCCTACATATCATTGTTCTATGGTGAAACTAGCAGAACCACAACTAATTCTCCCTCTAGGCACCTACCTAGACCTGCAAGGGGTCCCACTGGGGCAGGAGCACTTGTTTTGAAGAGATCCAGAGGGTTGGTCTGTGGGGCTGCAGACTGTCCTGTGGGCGATGTCTGGCCTGCAGGTTCTGAGACGGGAGGAGTAAAGATGTCTGATGCAAGCAAGTCATTTGCTGAAGACTGACAGAACAGGGGAGGGAGGGAGAAGAGTTATTTAGCAACAGTGATATACAGCTTTGATTTTTCTCCTACTCTCTAGCCCCAAACCTGAGAGCTACAAAAATGAAAACTTTTTTTTTCTTAATACTGATAAATGACAACAACGACTACAAAAACAAAACAAAACAAAAACAAAAACAAGATTGATGAGAGAAATAAAAAATACAAATCACTTCGATGGGTGGACTATTGGGTTTGAGTGACTGATACAAGCTTGGACTTGCATTGCAAAGTGAAAACTGCTTTGATCTTTATACATTTGTATGGGTCTAGTCTCCTTATTGGCAAAAAGCATGAAGCTGGTAAGGACAGCCATAAATAAGCATCTTAAGTAATTTTGATCATTCCATTTGATTTAAACCAGTCTATATAGAGATGGTAGAGTTTAAACTGTTAGGCAAACTTGCTTAGTCCTTGTGAGTTTTTAAAGCTACCTATAGAAAGTGCAGTTTGAATTGCTTTTGAATGAAGCTGGTAATAGTAGAGGTACAAGTAAATTAGTAAGTTTTTTCTAAGATGGATTATTAAGTGAATATTTGAATGAGGAAATAGGCTTGAGAATTCTATACCACCACCATAGACATTAATAGGATACACTGGGCCTGTAGGGCATGTGTTAGTGTGGGTCCACAACAAAGGGAATCACGAGAACTCTTGCCCCCCATCCCAGAACATAACGATCAAACTTACCAGTACTACAGAAGCATTAGCAGCGTTAAAAACGGAAAAACTTGTGTTTAGTTCAGTATTAAGTGACAAGACATGCAAACGGAAAGCAGGGTGTGACAAACACTGGTGCAAAGCTTAGAAAGAATGGCGATTAGAGGGAAGTCATCCTGGAGGACCGAAGTGCCTTCTCCCACCTTCTATTTCACAGCCACACGGGAAACTACAAGAGCAGCAGGGAAGAGAGCTTGCGTCACACCACCCTCTGGTACCGAGCATGCACTCTGCTAATGGAGATGTGGAAAAGACAATTCACCTTAGCAGTCCTTCTGCCTCTTCCTGGTTTGGTACTTTGTGGAGGTGGGATAATGGCTATGGAGTCAGGTGGTGAGGACTGGACAGAGCTTTCCATGTCCTGCTTTACGCCATTCAGTACAGACAGTCCTTTGGGAGGGCTTCCCACAAAAGGGTTCGGGGAAGATTTGGTATGGAAGCCGTTCTGTTCTCTTTCAGATACCCCATTTTGAGTTCTCACTGCTGGCTGGGTTTGCGTACTTGGAAAGGGCCAGAGGTCTGCCTGAGCTTCCTGTTTGCCAGTCCGGTTAGAGATTTGGTCAAATTGCTGATCAAAGTAATCAACATCACCATTCAGGGGCCCACTACTCAGTGGAGTAGACAAGCTACTCGAATTCTCTTTCTTCTGATCTGGAGGTTTGAGAGAATCAAACGAAGAGGGTGCCGATTGGTCTGGCCGTGCAAAAGGATCATCACGGAAAGGATCAGGATTAGGGGTGGGAAAGAAGTGGAGATTGGCAGAGAAGGCAGGTTCAGGCAAGAAGGATGCCTGAGGCTTTGGTCTAGGAAGAGAGCAGGAGGTGACGCCGTTTGTTAAGAATGGATTTTCTTTTAAAGAATTCTGATTGGTGTCGATTTCAGAGTTTAGATCCACTAACAGGATATCTTTGCTTTCCTAGCACATTTGGGAAGAAAAAAAAAAGAAAGAAAGTGTTAGTTCATGTTATGATTTCAAATGAGAAAACTACATAAAAATGACCAGGGTTATCAAAATTCCCATTAGTATTTGGTCTTGATAAACTGGTTGACTATTCTCACCTCTCATTATCAACTCCCTGTGAGCAATTTACTAGCTGTGTAGCAGGTCCTTCCTGCCCCTCCCTCTTAGCCTTCCTTAAGTGAAGTCATTAAGTGAAATCTTAGTGCTGTTTACTTCATGTCTCTGCTCACTTGAGTTCCTATTACAGATGAGCTGAGCTCGTTATCAGCATTATTTCAATTCAGGCCTTTGAACGTCAAAGAGAACGGATTGTGAGTCACTCTAAATGATTGTCGAAGTATTCTGAACTTTACTGTGTGAAGTGACTTCAGAAGCTTAGTCTGCTTCCTCCTTGAGTATGCATGGCTCTGTTGTACCCCAGAATCACTATACCAGTCCCATGTTTATAGTTCCGATTGTGATAAAGTCAGTAATTACTTCAATTCTTTCCTCTTGGTGGGGGGGAAGATTGTCTCTTTTTATTATAGCCTGCAGATATGCCTTCTTAATTGTTTAATGCTTTTGTTAAAGGTGCTAGCCAAGTTGGACCATTCATCCTTACCATCTTCATCTCTCCTTGGACAGCTCTCTTTTGTCTACGTCCTACTATAAAAGTGACTCAAAATACTTATCTCATCTATCAGACATTAGCATCTTGTATTTATACATTTTTTTCATAACATGGCTTATGAAAAAAGCCACTGTGTTGTGGCAGTGATCTCATTCATTTAGCATTAAAGTCAATGAGTAACTGATCTTTGATTTATGTGTAACTAAGAGGTGTGTGTTTAAGACTTAATCTTAATGACATACTAAATTCCTAGCTTTACTAATTCTATCAGACCAGAAAAAAAGGTGGTATATTATTTGGTTTCTCCATTGTTATATAAAATTTTTTCTCAAAATAAAATCAGCAAACTTGACTTTTCAAACCAGGCTGCATTCTAATTCATGACATAACTATGATTTACCCTGGAATAGGGGTCTCATACTGACAGACTTTCTTTCTGACTGATTTTGATTCATTAAATATTTAACTGTGCTAGTCATAAACAATAAACACTGCACAGCTGAAGGTGAAGTTAGAGGAGACATCTAGTATTATCCTGGGCAGTGTAAGGGGATAAAAGTAACTTAAAGGAATATTAACTTCACAAACCAAAAAGTACAAAAAGATTCGAAGAGGTCCCATCATCTTTAGAGAGAATAACAACTTTTAAGTCCAGCCTAGAAGAAGCTGCAAAATCAGACCTAAGAGGTATTCTATTTTTCTGCTTTTTTTCTTCTTTCTTTTTTATGGTGGCACTGCAGTTTAAACTCAGGGCTTGAGCCATTCCCTTCAGCCCTCTTCTCACTTTCTTTACTGTGAAGTATAAAAGCAGTTTTTAAAGCTAGTTTATAATTAGAAGAATCAGTCACAAGAAAGAGCTTGTAATTAAAAAAATTTAATCAGAGAAATGGATTGGATGACCTCTTAATGAAGAGATCTTTAAACAATCAAAAAGGTAGGGAAAAGTGTTTATAAAAGCTTGTGATTTCAATTTATTTATTTTTTATGAGCCACCTCTATGTTAGAACAGATGGGTGTTCACGGCTGGCAGAGTTCTCCTTTTTCAAATACTTCAGAAGAAGTTCTTAGGACATCACACAGGAGGCACAATGTTAGACTTCTGAATAGTCACCCTATAAGTAAAATGTATAAGGCTCTCCTCAGGTTGGCGTTGCTGTTAACCAAGCTTAAGAGTCTAGTTCACAGACTACAACTGATGGATACGAAACACCTCATCAGCCCTTTGCTCAGAGCTTCACTGCTGCTTTGTTGACTGCCAACAGTCCATCCACTTGGCCACCATTCGAGCGCCTGTGACATATGCCCCAGAGACACGAAAGTGAATTACAGTCCCTGTTCTTAAGCAGCTCCAGGAAGTGGGACGTGCAGCCAATTACACAGGTGTCTGTACAAAGATAAAACTTTAAAACTTGGTTCCATATCTCTTCTCTGGATGGCTAATCTTACGTTACCATTCAGGGTTGCCAAATCAAGGACTTTCCTACTCAAAGCTTTTGGTGACTTCCTGCTATTCCTCACATGTATTAAAATAACCTCCTTGGGTCAATTTTCAAGTGATCTGTGACAGAACCCAGTTTAATTCTGGTCTAACTATTATCTACTTCCCTACATACTGCAAAGACCCAACTCAAATTCAGATTCTTTACAAAGCCTTTTCTCATTGATTTTTCTATTTGAGTTTTACCTGCATCTTCCCCATGGCCCTCTTATGAGGTATATACAAGTGTACCCATGACATTGAACTTCAATCTTGACCCCAGCCCTTGTATCAGATTTAATCTACTGGAAGGGTGGATCATGTCTTATCTTCTTCTCATAATAACAATGCTTTCAAATGATCAAGTTTTAAAAGTAAAAGAGCATGCACCTCCCCACCTCTTTCAGAAACAACGTGGAAGGATAATACACAGGTAGTTTTCCAAAAGTAAAAAATTATATTATTTGAAATGCAAAAAATGTTTATGTATTGATTTGGAGGAAAACCATAGTCATCTGGAACCACTAATAAGTCTGGGTAATTTAGATTTGTTTCTCATTTCAGAAGCATCTTCCTGAGCAACTGTTGTGTGAGTTGAACATCTTTAAACATGCTGGTTTTGCTAAGTAGAGATAAATCTATTTTGTGACCTATAAATATGAGTTGATATATGAGAACATGTTGTCAAAGTCTAACTTTCTCCTTATCAGATACCATTTACTTTGATTGTATTTATTATATTTTATTTATTTACTTATTTATTTATTTTAGTAGTGGTACTGGGCCTCACACTTGCTAGGCAGATACTCTACCACTTGAGCCCCACCCCTACCCCTTTTTTGCTGTAGTTATTTTTCAGATAGGGTCTCACATTTTTTGTTCGGGCAGTCCTATGCAGTGATCCTCCTGCTTATGCTTTCTATAGCTGGGATTATACACATATACCACCATGCCTGGTTTATTTGTTGAGATGGGAATCTCACTAACTTTTTGCCTGGGCTAACAACAAACTGTGATCCTCCCAATGTATGCCTCCCAAGAACCAGGGATTTTAGGTATACACCCAGCCCCATTTTCATTTATTAGTTTAACTAAAACTTGTATTTCTACAAATCAAAAATTAGAATGCAAGAAGCTTTTGAGAAGTTTAAGTTAAGTTTAAGTGAGGATCTTTCATGGTGTCTTTTATTTCCATTTGCCAAATGTTCCAGAAGCTTACAAAAGCAGGTTAAATATTCAGTGCAGTGCATCCTTGCCTCTTTCTCTGGAATTCCACCTCTGTCATGAGTGCTTTGTTGTCTTTCAGTCTAACCTATTTGAATGCTATACTAGGGAAGTAGGTTGCTGAGACATCAATTTCCTTTGGGGAGGTGGTTCCTAATGGAGGAGATGACAAAATTGTTCAGGGATCAAAAGGATCTCAGAGCTACAGGGACCTGTCAGGGTCACTAATCTAGTATTTCAAAAGTTTATTCTTAGAACATTAAGAGACAGTATAAAGAATGAAAGTTTCCATAGACAAGTGAGTTGGGACTCATTGCTTAAAAGATACTAAACAGCTTTTCTGTTGCAAGCTTTATATCTGGTTCACATGGGGTAAGAGGCAGGGAGGACTGCATGCAGCTCCTGTTCCCACCTCAGCTGACCCGGGTTTACACAGTAAGGTTTCACAGGCTTGGCATTTTCTTCAGGACTCTGGAAAGTGAGAATCTTACTCCATCTCCAGCCTGCTGCTTGTTCTTGTGACCTTCTTAGTCATGTAGACTTGCTTGAAAATTTCCTGATTTAAGAGACTCTGCTAGACATTTCCCCTGTTATTCTAGACTGATTACCTGTTTTTCTAGTTATCACCTCTCATCCTGCATGTTCAAGTCTAGGAAAATGTATTCGGATTAGATTCAGGTGATCTATCAGAAAGACTATTTTGTATATTGACATAAATGTTGCACTAATGTTTAGGAAAATAGCTGTCACAGGAATCAGTACAGACTTGGTATTAGCAACATCTATAGGAAGTAGGACCATGTTGAGGTAAGTCAGAATAATTCCTCAAAAGCATTATCTGAATCTCAAAAGTAGATAAATACCCTGTAATTAACATTGATTAGTAGGCTTTGTGGCGGGTTTTAATGTTGCTCTCTGCTACACAGTAAATTCAATGAAGGCACTGATTTCAGTCATCTTGCTCAGTGCTGTACTTTGCCAATATCAGGTACTTAAGAAACTATTAAATAAATTACACAAATTGCCAGAAGTCATTCAGAATTACATGAATCTTTCATTTGAGGCCTGTTTTAGAAGGTCTGAAGGTAGGGGTTAACCCTTGAATTTGGGCCTCTTTTTTGGGTAAATGAGGGTTTTGCTGACCCAACATATTCTTATCTATAAAGGAAAGCATTGCTCCATTCTCACATGGTTGATACAGATACACCAATACTGAAAAAATGTCATACCATACTGTTCTTTTAAAAATTAGCAATTTTCTAACAAGGGCAGGCTTTTTAGTTGGACATAACTGAACCGCTTATTTAAGTCTTACTTCATGACAAGTTTATGCTGATAAATTGTAATAGAGAGGGAAAAAACTGATAAGACCAGGAAGCTTTATGATTAATCATCTAAGAATCATATTTCCTTCGAGCAGGTCTATGCCAAGGGTTATTATTCAGCTTCTCCTTCTGATCCTAAGTAATACCAAAAGGACTACATTGCCTGAGCTCTTACTCAGAATTAACTTCTAAGCAATATCTGAATTAGTGCTGTCGGTTCCTAGGGTGACTTAAGGTTCACATTTGTTCTAACAGCCATTTACACTTTATGTGAAAAAATCAGCAGTCACTTTCCAAATTTCAATGTGATTTCTGGTTAATTTCCAATTTGAATTATAGTTGTAATTTCCATTATATTGCAAATTTAAAAACAAACACTTACTGTTGGACTATTTAGGTCAGGAGGTGTAGACATGTCCCCAAACAAATCCATCTGGTCAACACCCTTAAAAAAGTATTTGGATTAGATTCAGATGTGTCTACTAAAAAAGATTACTTCGTATATTGTTGTAACTGTTTTCTAAACTAAGGAAAATAGTTGCCACATTGGATTTTCATTTAATTCATATAGATTTCACAATAAAGAATTTAGGTCAGGAAGTATAGACTTGTCCCCAAGCAAATCTATCTGGTCTGTAACCTTAAAATGTATTTGGATTAGATTCAGGTGATCTACTAGAAAGACTATTTGGTATATTGACATAAATGTTGCACTAGTGTTTAGGAAAATAACTGTCACAGGATTCAATATAGACTTGGTATTAGCAAAATCTACAGGAAGTAGAACCATGTTCAGGTGAGTAAGAATCATAAAACACCACATACATACCAACTTCAGTTTGTTGGCTTGATCATCAAGAGTCATTAGGGGCTCACTTCCATTCTGGAAAAAAAAGGCAATTATTTAAGCATTTAATTAATGAGTCTTATCCATAGAATTTACTTTCCTACCATATTGGCATGTTAAGCAGTTATGATTTTGGTGTTGATCAGTTCACTATATACTTTCCATGATTAGAGAGCTCACAGACATATAGCAAGAAGCTATGAGGAAAGAGTACTGGGCAAGTAGAAAGCAAGAGCTGTGTACATCACACACAATTCACAAGAAGATATGATTTTTACCTCTACTGCTTTGTTGGCTTCTTCAGCCTAGAAAGAAACATACAAATTCAGAGATCTTAGTAATTGTGGTTAAGGAGAATGAAGGAGCAAATGAATCTATTGTTTCATAGGCAAGAAGAGTCTTGCATAGTTTGCCTTACATTTCCCACCCTTTTTCATATAAATGCTAGATTCAAATAGAGTTTCTAGACTTAAACAAGGTTGTCCTGGGCAGTCCTACAACCCATGTGAAACTTATAGAAAGAAAAAATTAGAGCCAGGGTTCAAAAATCCAAAGTTCTTTACCACAACATCTATCCATTATCCTATTGGGAAGGAGAGAGAATTCTATAGAAGCCAACTCCAGACAAAGCATGTGAACATTAAATTTTAAACATGGTCCTGAATATAGTTTTAAATTCAACAGAACTTGTATTAAGTAGTACTTGCCTTTTTCTTTTCTTCTTCCTTTTTCTTTACATTGTAGATAACTTGGAAAAGGTCTTTAAGATCAACAACCAATGGCTCAGCCTGAAGCAAGAGAAAGCATTGTTAACAGCGTTTAATCCTCAGTATTTTCCCCCATTGTCCCCAGTCAGTTCTCATTAGGACTGGTTTCTTTTTTCTCTTAAAGCTCCTTACTATCCTCCCCTGGTTTATAGGGGATTACCCCTCCCATCACCACATAAAGAATAGTAAGGTTAATAAACGTTATACAGATGTTTAGGGAAATACTTGTTGCAATTGGGTTTTCCAAATATTTAGGCAAAACAAGAGGTACTAACTGTTGTTGAATCCCTTCAAGGTTTGTAGGCATAACTCACCATTGTTCTAAATTTAGCATTAACTTATAAATAGAAAGTCCATTCTCAAAATTCCTGTGTCACACACACAAGTGGCAGTGACATTTTTTAAAAGTTCCTTAGATCAACAGTCATTCTCTGAAATCATTGTTGGCTTAAGAAATCATTATTAGTCTAACAAATTGTTCTCAACAGGTTTTCTAGTTAAGTCACTGACATTCCTGTGCTCAAGAAAAAACACATTCCCAGGTAAACCTCAGACTTGAAGCTCACCTGTTGCCCTGTTTTTATGGCAAAAAACTGGTGCTGTCCTTCTCCTCCACACACGTAACCAAATGCCCGGTTGTCCGTCACATCACGGGCAATGAAAGAAATCTTATTTACTGGATGTTCATGCTCTATTACCTTAAAAAGGAACATAAGGAATGACTTACTGAGGAAAACAGAATCTATTTGTCAGCTAGCACAGTTAGGCATCAGACAGATATATGAAGGAGTATACAAAGAGATTAAAACATTTAAAGAAAGACTTTTTAGCCTGTGGTTGAAGGCCAGAGTTATATTTATTCTTACTAGAGATTGCTCCAAAAAGAAGTAAGATTAGAAAACAAAAGAGGGGAGAATGATCCTTTTTAAAATATTGATCCTTGACTCTCCCTACCCTGAAGTGTGATATTATGTACAAGGAAGGACTAAGAATTAGTAGTTTAAGAATTTCTAAAGTGAAGAAGAGATAACCCTTAGACCAACCCAAGTTTAGCTGGTTATTGTGATACACACTTGTAGTTAGAGTTACTTGGGAGTCTGAGGCAGGAGGACCACCTGAGCCCGTTACTGGGTTCAAGAACAATCCAGGCAACTAGCAAGATGAGGTCTCAAAATAAAATGAAAACAAAACAAAAAACAACCCAGGTAAGTCTACCTTCCCAACTCAAGAACAAATCTCAGTGAACAGCATAACTTAGAAAAGTGCTCCCAAGGATTCTTTACCAATGGCTCAGAGGAGTCAAGGAACTGTCTTATACAATATTAAAATCAGTGCATCCGGTAAATTCTAGAAGTTACCAAATGCTATCATCAAGTATTTTTCCATCTGCCTTAGAAAGTCCATGGAGTGACATTTGGCAGGAACTTTATTGGCTTAAAGTATCTTCCCCACTTTCCCCCTGCCTCTCGATCTTTTCAAGCCTGCAACAGTATTCTACTCTTTAGGGATAGTTGTATGTGACAGAGTATATCTTGGTTTTTGTTTCCAAATGTCTCAGATCACTGAAAAGATCATATTTTGAGAGGACAGAGAGAGAGAGAGAGACAGAGAGAGAGAGAGAGAGGTTGAGAATGCTTGCAAGAGAAACCTGCCACCAATAAGAATTAAGAGTTGAAGGATGATGGTGGAAACAATGACGCCTGAGGACCTAAGGACCAGCAGCTGGTGACCATGCACCAGGGTGCCCTGCCCTAAGTCTGACTGATGGATTTTGTATGTTAGATAAGTATCTCTAGGAAGTGCTGAACAGTAAAAAGAGATCTTCCCACAAGTCTTGATATGAACAGAGTATCTTTTTCTTTGTTTTTTTAGATAGAGTCTTGTAATGTAGATGTAGGCCTTTGTTTTTTTTTTTTTTTTTTTTTTTTTTGTCACTGGGGCTTGAACTCAGGGTGTTGGGCTTCCAGGCTGACCCTCTACCATCTAAGCCACTCTGCCAGTCCTCCAGGCTGGCCTTGAACTAGGGATCTAAGACTTGATGTATGATAGCTTTTGGATAGGGGTTAGAAACAAAACAAAACAAGAAAAACTGTTCATATGTGGTAGGATAATAGTAACCACAGAAAAACAAGCAAGATTGCATCTATAGGGCAAGGAAGCAGGGAAAAGAGAGTGGGGCACAAAAGCTAGATATGTCATAAGTCAGCTGTTAAGCTCACACACAATCAATATATTCAAATAAAGTGAGACCCATGCATAGACCTGTGGAAGTGCCCCAAACCAGGGATTAGGATTACCCTAGCACTGTATATCTGAAGTCCAAAACAAATACCCTTGTGATATTATAACATACCTGTAGACTTATTCACATCTCTTATAGAAAGTGAATTTCAAAATGAAGTGTCATGACTCCTCAGTTCCTATTCTGTTTTCTGCCTATGACAGGTGGGGAAGTAATACATGCTATTATTTTTTTCCTATAAAACTTTGAGAAGGAAAAAAGGAAGCTGAAATTCAAGTAGCACATTGAATTTCAGGGTAGTCAGACTGCCCCGGTCAGAGGTGCCAGTAAACACGAATTCTTACCCCAGTTTTCTCGTCAATTATTTTTATCCCAGAAAGGGAAATGTTGACCCAAATTCTTTGCTTGTGTTGTCCCTGAGACCGGCCAGCCGCTGCCATTCCCTAATGAGGTTGGGTAAAAAAGAAAAATCAAATTTAAAGTACAATGCTTCTAATACCAAGATTTAAAAAGACAGTCAACTTTGGAAGGATGAAGCATTTTTCAAAGGGATAACAAGACAGAGTAGAGGACACTGACTGGGCAGGACATTCCTTAGTTAGCAAGGTGAACTTGAACAAGTCATTTGAGTTCTTGTGGCTTCAGAATATTCATTGGTAAACATGGGGGTACCGAACTAGATCTTTAAAGATGTTCCTTCTTCTTGTGTTGTTCAATGAAAATCACTTATTTAATTAGGTTCACATAGTCACATAGGATTGAAAGTTCAAAACTCAAAACCCCAAAGGGCTAACAGTAAAGGACACTATTTTCCAGGTAAAATTCTGCATTTTTCTTAAACACTTTCTATGTTAAAAATATGGTAGTCTATGACTTCTACGCAAAGTAAGACAATTGTATACAGCTTTTATAATCCCTTAATGAGGGAGACTATAAGGATAGGATTTGTCCAGGTGCTGAGTCTGCCAAAATGAAAAGACATCTAGAGTCCTGCTATTCTTGATAAAATGAGGCTTCTAAAAGTTTCCAAAATACTTTAACTAACTCATGGTTTCTCAGAGAATAAAACACCAAGGGCTGGGGATTCAGCTTAGTGGTAAAGTATTTGCCTAGCGTGTGTGAGGCCCTGGATTTGATTCCTTGCACTGTGTACACACACACACACACACACACATATATACATAAATAGGTGCCAATATTGGAACAATTATGTGGTTTAGAGAGCTTACTGAATAACTGCAGTACAGGTAAACATGAGCTTCTAATATAATTCCTTCTCTCAGATGTTTGCTTAAGATACAAACAAAGCATTTTTTCCCCTCTTACCTTGAGTTTCATCATAGAATCTTGGCTCATCTTATCCCCTCTTGCATCTGGCACATCATCAATACCAATTAACTTGGCCTTGTATTTTACACCATCACCTTTGAACCTGGCCAACAGATACTCATCTGTCTTTTCAGACCCTGAGAAAAGAAAAAAAAAATGCAGGATAAAGTTTATATTTAAGTGCCACTCCTAGACATGACTAAATGTGCTCCAGAGTGCCTAAAATTTGAGTAGTATAAATCTTGATTATACTATAATTAATCACACAAGGAATGTTCTACTTATTTTGTTCTTCTTTGGGTGAAATCATGCTTCATGAGATTGAATTTTGGAGTTGTGATTGAGAGAAAACAAACTCTTGAAGATGTGAAATTGGTGATGGGAAATTCATGGGAATATGTGAGTAGACGTAAGCATTACTAAGGTTTTAAAAGAATGGAAAAATACTTTTCTTTTTAATGGCAGGAAAACAAGTCAATACAAAATTTACTATCATTTTGAACTATTAAGAAGCAGATGGGAATTATGAGCAAATTCCCTTGACAACAATTGAGATACATATCCCATCTTCATAACTTCTTCTGCTCCTCTAAAAGTTCCAAGTAGTCTTATTCCCAGAGCTAAAGGGTTTTAGCAAAAAGCAAGCAAGTCATGGCATATTCTCAAGTTTTGAATTATTAAAGACTCTGACACTGTCTAGTGGTACTTCAGGTCAAAAGAAGAAGGTGCAATAAAATCAAGATCTTGATTTTTAAAAAAATGATGACTTCAATAAATAAATTTTTTAAAAAGCACATAATAATTGATGATTGGTTTAGTAACTGAAAAAGACACTATGAAAATATCCCTGCAGGACCTCAGTCGGTGCAATCACCAGATGCAGAGATAAGTCTTATCTCACATGGGGCGGACCAATTTCTTCTGCCAAAGTACAATTTTCCTGCTTAGGAGAACTTGTGACTAAGCCAATGTTGTCACCAGGCAAGAGCTCGTTCTTACTTTACCCTGATTTTCACATTTTTCTAGAGATAACTCCTCTGGCTTCCTTTGCTGACTGCAAGAAGATTTTTTCATACCTTTCTTCTTTTCCTTCTTTGATGGTGCTTTTGGTGCAGCCTGTTGGTCAGGCTGACCATTGGTCGTGCTTGTTTCTACTTCGTTAGACATGGCAAGAAGGCAAACAGCAACAGATACTCAGTGACACCAGGAAATCTCCGATGAACAGGTCTCAAATGAACATAACCTATGACACACACCTATGGATAGAGTTGAGAGGAAAAATGAGATTAGAACACAGCAAACCCAAACTTTAAGTCATAGAAGCCTACATCTAGTGGCTGTCTTCCATAGTTTTGTGGACTTATGTTCCTTCTCTAGCAGAGTTGGGTAAGACAGCTTCCTTTACAGTTTTCAAAATAAGAAAAAGTGTGCTTAATAGAGTTTTCTTTAAGTACTTGATTTCTGATAGCATTTAATGATTATCTAGTTCAGCAGCTTGTATTAAAACTTTGGCATAAAAATCTAGCATTAAAGATAGGAATTGATCCAGGTGTGGTGGTACATGGCTATAATTCCAGCAATCAGGAGGTGGAAGCAAGGGGGGTTCTGAGTTTGAGGCCAGCCTGGGTTACACAATGATTTTCAGGTCAGCTTGGGCTAAACAGTGAAACCTTATCTTGAAAAAATTAAAACGGGGATCAAAAACTTGCTAGGTTTCATAGCAAAATAGAAATACATTGAGTGCTGAGCCTGATTAGATTGCAACTGGTATCTGAAAGTGAATGTTATAAATTTCATTTCTTCACAAAATCACTTAACTTTAAGGGAAGGACAAGAGTAGAGCTATGGGTTAGGGATGTAACTTAGTGGTAGAATGGTTGAGGGCCCTGTGTTAGATCCCCAGTACTGCAAAGAAAAAAAAAGGTGGGGGCAGTTATGAATTTTATCTTGCTCATACTGATAAATACTTTAACATATTAGGATACTACATATGGTCGCCAGTGCTATATAAACACTATGCTTTAGAAGACATCTGTTGTTAACATTGACACATGCACCAGGGAAAGAATTAACTTACGGGTGTTTGTTGTGCAATTCATTGACTATAAATACTTTTATGCTATTATTTAGCACTACCATCTTCAAAATATGTTCTCATTAAGCTGCCCTGTATATCACAGTAGGTAAAGGAGAGAAAGTCATTGCAAGCACACAGAGGTGAACTAATATTCAAAAGGTTCTTTCATCTTCCAGTAGACAAAGTTTAGACAAACTCTACTGAGAGCTAGAGTGAGAAGGTGAATATTCTAGGACTATAGACCAAAAGTAAAGAAGAGACATTCCTTGCTTTATGATCCTATTGTAAGACCATCTGTGGGTTAGTGGGCTAGAACACCCTCCCATAAAAGCCCTCTTCATTCTGTTATATCACCCATCTCTATATGAGCATTTAGTTGAAGGACCAAAATCCATCACAAACGTGGGAATGTATGCTGATTGTTAGAGATCTAAGATAGTGAGTCTCAAGTTTTCACTCAAACAGCTTAAATTGTATTTAGTTTGCCTCATAAATGTCAACTTATTTTCTTGAAGGTCAGCACTTCCCTCCTTTTCAAGTTTTTAACTGGCTTTTATGGTCTTAACAGCTTTAAAATATATGCATATACACACCCCATCTATACAGATTAATATTATCTGAATTGTTTCATTTGGAGATTTAGTAGTTAATTTTGCTCAAAGACCACTGAGTGGCAGGCAGCCAGTGAGATACATTATTTCAAATGGAATTCATAGTAGAAGACTCAAAGCCATATCTAATGCAAGAGTTAGTTGAGGGCTAGTCACTATTAGCTTTATACTTGTATTAAGTTTAAAAAGTCCATAGTAACCCTGTCAGTATTATTATATAGCCTATTTAATTTTCCACAGGAAAAGCCAAGACACAGAGGTTTCATTATCTGCCAGAGGCAGAACCAGGTTTCTGTCTCACACTGTCTGGTCCAAGTTCAGTTCATTAACACCCCATGGATGAATCACATTTTTGAAGCCCCATCCTAACTTCAGAGACACTCTTATTATATATACACCTACAATGGCAACCAAAAGTATGTCTGAGTCCTAATTCTCTGAACTTCTGAATGTGTCTCTATTTGGGAAAAGAGTCTTCACACCTATAATTAAGGATCTTGAGATTGTCCTGGATTTAGGAAGGGTAATGATAGATACCCTTCTTTGTAAAAGGCAGAAGGAGATTTGAGACCCAGAGACACACAGAAGAGAATGTGATATGAAGACAAAGGCAGAGCTTGGGTTGATGCATTTACAAATCAAGGAAAGGCAAGTACTCCCAACACCTACCAGAAGCTAAGAGTGAAGCATGCATTGGGTTCTCTCTCAGAGCTTCCAGAAGGAGCCAAACATATGACATCCTGATTTTGGACTGTTTGCCTTCAAGACTGTGAGAGAATAAATTTCTCTTGCTCTAAGCCACCACCCAGTTTGCAATAATTTGTTACAGCAGTCACAGGGAATGAACACACCACCTCTATTTTGTATGCTTTGATTAGCTTCAGAGGTTCTCAAATTTGTTTCTTGGCACCATGATAAATATTTCTTAGTCATCTTCATATCCTTCTAATTTCTGGCCAATAATTGCCTTTTTAATTTCAAGAATTTACTCCAGATCAAGCAGATATTTTCCCATGTTATCAATATCAAGACGTGAAGCTAAGCCCTGATCTAAGAGACATGTAGATGTTCTTTCTCCCGCATCCTCTCCTTCGGCTCAATGACTCTTCACCTTTATGAATTGCCCAGATCTCACTTAGAAATAAGGAAAACACTTCAGTGTGGCAAAATAGTCGTTGGATTATCTCATGATGCCTTCAGGGTTTAAACACCTTAAATTGATAAGTCTCCAATCCTTTGCCATTTCCTATTCCATTCCCTACAAAGATCTCAACTCTCTTCTTAACTTCAGCCACAGACTAGTCTGCTGACCAGGTAAAATTACATTGCTTTTCATTTTCTTGGGGGTATCCTACTGAATGCATCAGGCACACATATCTTTTTGTGAGCATTTCCCCCTACTTTTTACTCCTGTCACAACCTTGTTTGTTGAATTAGGATGACACAGAACTTTTTCTTTTTTCTTCTGAGACTGGGGTTTAGGCACAGATTTTTTTTTTAAGTGATCAAGTTTTTCTAAATATTAAAATGAAGTTAGAAGTTTTCCTTGCTAAATCCTCTGGTGGTTTCCTTTTAAATCTAGGTAAAAGATGTAGACCTTTTCATTTTGTACATAAGGCTCTTAAATATTTTGTTTCTCCTTGCCTTCACCCTCATTTCCTTTCATGTAGACCTACCCCAAGCTCCTCATTTACTTTAGAATGCTGTTTGGTTTTTACTCTTTACATTCTCAGATTTGCTGAGCTGGACTTGTCCCTATGTCCTGTTTTTACTTTGCTTCTGGAAACATAGATAAGTCCTCTCTTTGAAGCTTTTCCTTCTTTCCTATAAATATACATGGCCATTGTGTGGTTTCACACAAACCTATTTCACACTTGTTTGTCCACCCTCTGGACTATAAACTCCTTGAAGGGAGGAGACTCACTTTTCCATGTCTGACATATAGAAGCTGTTTATGAAGACGGTAATCTGGACTATGATAGATATGCACATTTTCTTCCTTGCTTGTTATGTTTGCAAATTTGTATGTATTACCTATTCTTATATCTCTCCTCCTTCCCTTTTACTACATGTCTTTTGGAAGTTAAATGAACAATGTTGTCTTTAGGTAGCAGACTAATCAGATGGGACCATGACTGAATTCTAAGGGTGGTAAATATAGTCCAAAGACACAAACTGTTTTCCAGAATTATAATGCCTTTTAGGACTTCGCAGCTTCCTAGTCTGGCAACATCTTCCTTTGAATGAAAGGTGGCTTCATCTTGTTAGATGGAACACTCATTTTACTGCAGGGGAGTAGCTTAAATATGTAGAAGCGTGTCTATGGATGGTGACTGGCTAAAGGGATGTTCTGTGCCATTTTTTGTTTTCTCTGCTTCAAAACACCTGGCTTCATGAAGCTGAGCAAACTGCAAGCTAGCCCTGCCAATGGTGGGTGCTAGAGGGAGACTGCTAAGCTGGTGAAGGGACTTGTACTTTTCTGTTCATGTCATCTGGACTTCTCATGGCTTGATGCTCTTGAGAGTGTGTTATTCAACTCTAGCAAAGGCTCTTTACCCTAGCAGCAAGAGGTTCCTCTTATGACAGCTGCTGAATCCAGTTATCAGCACTTTGTAGGCTTGCAGAACCAGTCTCATCAAGTTCCACTTGGACACAGCATCCCCCCAGTGCTGTCTCCAGACTCAGAGCTTCAGAGGACAGGGACTCCAGCATCAGCTAAACAGCACCCTTTCCCAGAGGTCTGAGTAGCAGCCCCAAGTAAAATGCCAAGTTTATAGGCTTTGATGGTTCCAGTGTCTTCCCTTCCTTCCCTCAGCCCTAGATAGTAGTTGTCTTCTCTTCCTCTCTCCTCTCCCTCCTCCTTGAAAAGGTAACCTTAGTATAAGACATCAGAAGCCTAATGTTATACTTTTCCAGAAGATGGTACTTCTGACAAAAAAAGACAGTCTATTCACTTGGTGATTTTTATCCAAAGTGATAATATTTTAAAGAAATTTGAGAAGTACCACAAAGAATTTTAACAGACTTAGGGAAGGGACAGTGGTATGTGGGTTTAGTTATAAAAATAAATAAGACATAACAACCACACAACTCAAGACCAGGTATCACATCTAGTGTTGCAGACTGGGCCACATGGAAGTGTTCCAGGTGAGTGGTGTACCCTAGTGCTGTGAGGCTGTATAGCAAAAACTCCTCAGATCCTTAAGTACAGCTTTCACAGCATTGGGATGGTTTTAAAGGTATTTAGTTTCCTTTCACTACTTGGGAATGAACAGTTGCAAGTGACAAGGGATAATAAACAGGAGAAAAAGTTTCTTTAGAATAAATTTCTTGAAGGAAATGGATGTGTATCTTGAGTTTCAGTAGCCAAGGGTAGCATTGTAGGCCGTGCAATTGAAAATGTATCCATACTCTCCAAAGTTAAAATTAGCCAAGCACGCATGTACCAAGGATAAACATTTGCCCTCATCCTAAGGGGCCCAAGCTACCATCTGATATGGTAGATGGAAGAACACTTACTTATAAAGACTTAGGTCCCTCTGTAGAGATAATCAACTTAAATTCAATA